CGTTGCTCTTCGTTTCGTGTGAAAGGGGGCGGGTACGTACTTGGTGTCCCGTTTTCGGATCAAATCCCGACGCCGCTCATTGCATAACTCAGAATCCGACGTGGAGGGTCTCACCCGCGTGGCTCTTTCCTTATGTTCGTCCTCACTCCGTACTCGGTAGTGAAAGCCTTTTGATTGGTAACGCTCGAAGCGACAACAATCGCTGCACAGAGTGTTAGGCCAATGGGGCGCCACCGCCGTCCACGGAATGACGATCAACTCATTAGACGGCAATAGCAGCGAATAAGGCGGAAAATGCGTATCAACAATCACAAAACCAGCATCGACGTTCCCTGAGCACCGAGTTTTGGGAGAAATAGTATCGGCCGCCAATCTTGGCGACGACTTCTTGTACGTCCCACTCGCATACACGTGGCCTCTTCTTGTTGTACAGGAAGGGACGAGGCGAGGATACGGGAAGCCGACGCCCAGTCGGGTTGAGGCCGTCAGTCCACATGGCAATCCAATTAGGCGCGAAAGTCGGTCTCAATCATCATTCGTCCGACAATCGTAATGATAAAAAATACACTACCCGTCGCTCGGGTTTTGCGTATCGAGGGCAAGCTGCAGATGTCGCGCAGCGCATTCCAGGTTAAAGACCTCGGAGTACTCTCCCGCAATCACGTCACCGACATATCTAAACACTCTTGCATTTTCGAACAAAATCCCAACAACAGTATCTTTGCCAACGATCCGACCATATTCATACATTYCATTCGTAACAACTCTTCGGCCTAATCAAAGACCAGCTCATCAATCGACAATTGCATCATCCGAATATCCCAATCTACACTCGCGGTCGCTTTTCGTGGAAGGTGCGAAAATGGCAGCTATGCATCATTCAGTTCTCCGTGTGCTCTGCACCCCTGTCCCGTCATYCCATGGCTAATCAAACGCAAACCCATCAGACAACCATTTCATGACAGATATTTATAGTTATTCATGCCTTAAAGTAAGTGGGGAGAAGAAGTGCAAAAATGGACGAGAACAACAAGATAGATGAAGATCACGCAAAAAAAAAAAAGTCCGAAGATGAAAAAGGAGTTCCGGCTTAACTGCTGTTGACCTGTACTCACACCAAAGAATAGATTCACGACAAGAAGGCGCATCCTCCGTGAAGTTCCACTATGGCCCCGGGCCATTCAACTCCGATCACTATGCATGCACTGACGATCCTAGCCGTCACGTGCCACTTTCCACCACTGCGATCGTCACCCCGCCGACTTAGTTTCGACACGGCCTGCCCGGATCCCACAGTCCATCGTGACGATCAGGCGCACCGCCGACCAGGCTACAGTCAACTCGTCGGGACTTTTCGACTCACACTCCACACATACCATCTAGCCACTGCTTCCCGGAAGCTGGCAGATGAGTTGAGAGAGAGATTTGCGGGCGAGCTTGTGGAATTTATAGTTGCGGGAAGGGAGGTAGGTACGAGGGAGGATGAAAGTTGAGTCAGGGAAGGGTGAGAGAGGACGTGAGGATAATCGCCCAGCGAAAACCATGTCGATCCTGCTGAGTCCGATCACAACCAATCAGAGTCGTCGCGTAACAAGAGTTTCCCCTTACACGGCCCCTCTCCTTGGCTGGATGGTAGAGAGAGGATCGACCAGGCTCTTGGGCGTAGGACTTAGAGTGGGAGAGAGAGGGGTGCGCAGGATAGCGTGAAACGGATCCAAGATTCTGATGAT